AAATTTTTGCTCGTCAGTGTACACTTTTTTGATATATGTTCTTTTGTCATCCATACTGCAACGTATAATAAAAGGAAAATTTTTTAGATTAGCATAGGATAAAATTTTCACGAAACAAGTTTGCTAACAGCAATTATTAAAGCCTATTTGACTATATAGAAATACTTGTAAAGTGATTTATCTAATTGCAGATTCTGATGAATGAATTGCCGAGTAAAATTTTATAATGGAATGTTTTTTATTTCAAGAATCGAGCAGTACATGAGTGAGGGTGTAATCGAATAAGTTTACATTGGAAAACTATCGATTGATTTGCTTAAAATAAAATAACAATTTATGTTTTGATTTTAAGAAATTCTTATTAAAACAAATCCTCACGAGACTAACATGTTATCAGAATTGTTGCTTGAAATTTAGCTTAACAAGATATGAATCTGATAAACATTTTATTATATATCATTTCAGAATCCATCTAAAGAGAGTCTATATCTTGATACTAAGAAGAGAGTCGAATACTAATCTTGAGTAGAATTTACGTCATAGTTAATAGAAGGTTTTGTCAAGACTTTAATATTTTTCATAGCTGTTAAATTCAAGATCAAAAAAAGATTAAACTCTTAAATCTAGTTGCATTTTTATAACAATTCTTTCAATAATTCGAATACAAGCAAAATATATTATTAATAATCAGTTCATTAAATTTCTGTAACTTGAAACAATAGTACATAAGATACGATACCTTGATAGGTTATGGAAATACTAATATAAGGCCACTAGTGGAAAAGAGAAGCCAAAGAAAACCAAGAAAATAGTAAAAAAGAAGCAACAGCAACCATGAATGATACTCTTAGAAGAAATAAAATTCGCAAAAAGAATTTGATCTAGATTTCGAACAGTAATAATTGTTGATTGATTCACGTACTTTCATATCCAGAGAAATTGTTAGAAAAAAATATATGCATATATAAGAGTTTCATATCAGTTGTTTTAAAATAAACATAGCTTTATATTGTTGAAAACATTATTGCCAATCTATATTTATCTGCAAAGACTTTCAAATAGCAACATTTTCATTGCAAAAGATTTTTCAGCTTAATAATTATTTTGTTGATTGACAATAGCTCGTCTTTGTTCAATTTATCTGTCGATCATTATCGAACATCTAATTAACAACTGCTCGTCTTAGTATCAAAAAGAAAGCATAGATTCAAAATTATAAATTGATATGCTTTAGAAAGAATTGAACATTTTTATTGATAAAGATTTGCAAATAAGCATATAATCTATTTATGCGAAAAAGCAAGTATAGAAAGTAGATAAATAAATTTATTGTTCATCAATAGCAGAACATTTATTTTCCAGTGGTCTATTGATAACTGCTATTGCTGTTGTTTTTTCATTTTTTTCAATTACAACAGATGGATTATGTGCTTCTCCATCTGTACTAAACATTACAGCTTGTTTATCCATTGAATTCCTATCAACGAAAATCAATCGAAAATGTGTTGACGTACTTATATAGAGCATTGGAATCCACATAACAGATGATTTAGCAAAAAATGCACATAAAAATGTTGCAAGCGGTGATATTTTTGCATTTGTATTACGAAAAGCTGAGATAAAGAAAACAATTGCATATGGAGTCCATGTTATTATGAAACCACATACTGTAATTATTATACCTATAGAAATATTTTAATATATTTGTTTAGATAAAGAAAAATCTTACTTTTTAGAATTCGTCCTTCCATTTCAATTCGTCTTTGACTTAATTCTTTTTTATCACCTTGTGTCATTTTACATTTCATTCGCTTTAATCCAACGTAAATTATTGTATTTGTTACAATAAGAATAATTAATGGAATACAGTAAACAAAGATAAAGAGAAAGAAATTAAATGAAACATATAAAGGTCGTCGATCATACCAATTTACACAACATGATGTAAGAGCTCCCTAAATGATATGTATCATTATCTATGTCACTAATAAAGTCAAAATTTAGCATTAAGTATCCTAAGATTTTCTTTTCTACGCACTAACAAATGATCAAATTAAAGATTTGATTACTTGACGAATTTATTATATCTTTGGTCTTTTCACTGAATAGAAGCTATATTTAATAATCTCACTAGAAATAAGCCATTCATGAGACATTTTTTTAGTTCTTTATCCACATAAGATAGATTCATAGGTAGATCGAAACATGTTTGCTTCTCCAATATCACTTGAGAAAATCTCGATAATAAACGTGCTTTTTGTTCTTTTCTCGATTAATGCTAATGATACCTTAGTCTGCTAGAGGATAGAGACAATACCAGAACAACAAATTATATGATCTTTAAAGTCTTTTAAAATGTTCTGAAACCATTGAATTCATTTACAGTCTTTGATGTTCGCTGATGCCTGTTGAAGTTCACTGTTTTCTCCTGGAATATAGTTACAGAAAGAGCATTCAATAGAATGCTAATCTTTGATCAAGTTATAAAAGTGTTCTTGATTATTTTCATCCATATAAATAGATCAAAAACAAAAGTACCAACCTCTAAAGTGTATTCATTCCATCCAATAATTGGCAACATTGTCCAAATAAAAGCTATAATTACAACGACACAAGCAATAATAATACATTTACTGATCTAAAAAGATTAATTTGTTTAACTCTTTAAATTTAATTAAAAGCTATCTTACGGAAACACTTTTTGCATTAAATGGTCTTACAATAATATAGCATCGACTAAGACTAACTGCGCAAAGTAAATATGAACTTGAGCATCCATATAAAAAAGCCATGATAGCTTCTACTTGACATCCAACACGACCGTATAACCAATAACAATAAAGAGATGAACTACCCGCTAATGGTATAATACTACATGATGCCAAAAGACCAATACCCGAAATAAACATTATAAATATATTAGGTGGAGTGCGAAGAAATTTATATCGAATAAAACTATAAAAAAGTGCTCCATTTAAAACAATACCGATAAATGCAGCAAGACATAAAAATATTCCAATGATTCGTACTATATTACAATTAATTGGTGTTGGACGACTCCAAAATAATGGATCATCTGGAGATAAATTTTCATCAACTACTAATGAATTGTTATGAAACATCTTATATGATGTAGGTTTACCAACTAAAAAGAAATAGAAAGTAACACAGAAAAATTCTTCTGTTTTTTTAGCGTGAGTAACAACGATACAATATTTCTTATCAATCATTCTTACAAGGAGGTGAATCTACTTTGATGACTTTTATTTTCTACACATAGTATATTTAATCTAACTAATGATAATAAAGATGATCAATAGGTTTTACTCACACCACGTTAGAAAATTACAATCATTAATAGGGAAAGAAAAAAAGAAAAGATACACCACGATCATTAGGGTGTTATTTAAATATCACCGCGCATGATATATTGAAATAGAGGTAAAATTCCCTTGAAAGTATACGATACCTAAATTTTGCACACATCAATACAACGATATACAAATAAAAAAACGGAATATTGAACAACTTTCTTATATCAAGACGATTATGATTGTAGAAAGATAATGTTGATTTAGCTTTAAGATCATGATACAGTTCCTAGATGAAATCTAAATTGTACTTGCATACAATAGTGGACAAGCAAACAAGAAAAACAGTGTTTAAACACCATGAACTGAACTATGAAAATAATATGCTACGTCCCTGAAAACATATTTTATAATATTTAAAATATGTAGCTATTTAAAACAATTTTATCAGTTAAACGAGTGAAACTTAATCGGCAAGTATCGCTTGAATGCGTTTTTTTGGTACACCAGCAGCTTTAACAGTTTAAACATTTCAATGTTAAGAGTATTCTCTCCAATATTTTTCCCGATCATTCAATCTTGATGAAGTCTTCAGAGGAGATATCTCTCGAATAAGGCACTTTATAGTAAATGTTTCAGCTGAATACATAGAGTCTATAAAGATTTAGCTCAAGACTATAGGTCAAAATATAGGTGTACGTGCATTTCAAAATTTTCCATCATTTCGAGTGGTTGAAAGTTTGGACTAGTCTTAAAATGTGATACAGACCTAGTGTTATAACTTAGAAGAACTCTTCAAGATCATCCGTTCAAGATGGGATCGAATAAATATCCTTCTCTTACATGATTTCTTTGAAACAAAGAATTCTAGTTAGATCTATGATGAAAATGTAGTACAGGATATTCTAGAAGTTTCGTAGTATATTTTTACTGATTCATTCTAGTTATTTTAACCATTATATTTTTCTTTAAATGATAAGTTCATGTATCGAGCTTTGATTGCGTTGCATCAAGGTGATCAATAATTTGATCATCAAAAAATGAACCAAAAAATAGCTTGATTCACAATAAACATTACACAATCAATTTTGGCATCTATATTGCAACTTCAAAGTAGCATACGTATCATTTTGAGTCCAAGTACGGCATTTATGTTTATTAACTGATTTATTAGAGAGTTGTCATGTGTATAAGATTAAAAAAAATGAATCAATTTAAAAACAATCGTTGTGTAATGTCTTTCTACTTATAGAAAAGGACTACAGCTTCATATTTTAGTTAGATCAGATAGATTTCAAGAGTGTTTTGGAAATTTACTTATATAAACAAAAACTCGATGCACAGGCCTATCGGTTGAAAAAGGCCTAGTAGATAAAGTTAAGTCAAATAGAAAATATATACGAATGAACTTTCAGGACACATTATACATATCGAGTTGAGTGCGAGTCCAGAATCTATACTATGATTATCACATCCAAAACTCGAATTCAAATTTTTTTTTCCATTGTGATACAGAGAATAAGTTTTGTAACAACAAAGAAATATTTATTATAATTTAATTACTATATCTTGAATATTTGCAAAAATACAAAGCAATAAGTCAAATAATTTAGGAATGATGGTCTAGCTTGTGATAATTAATAGAACAAAAATAGTTTTAGAAAAGTTTTTAAAAAATAAATCGTGAATCTATATGAACCACATATCATCGGTGATTTTTTCATCCAGTACCATTACTTTTGTCTTGATATCATCAAGTGAATAAGTTTCAGGTTCTTCATTATTTTCATCAACACTAAAAGTATAAATACCATCAATAATCATGATGAAAAGTGTTTATATGATTTAATGCATACCTTTCTCTATCCTGATCTTCGCCATATTTAAGTGCTCGTGATGCATAAGCTGCTAAATGAGCATAATGAACAGGAGCTGGTATTGAAACTGATTTAGTACAACGCATATCTGTATGACATAGCTAAAATAAATCTCATTCTTATCTTTAAAACTTTTTTTCAAACAAAATAAACTTACCCAATAGGTAAGTTGTTGAATATCATCACTGCTGAATCCAATATCATCATGAAGAACATGATACAAAGCTGGTCGTGATGTACCCATTCTATAATAATTCATAATCAAGTTTTCATATAATACAACAAAGTTAAAAATACTCACATTGCAGCTTGTGAACATAAGTAAAAATCAAACTGTGATGGATGTATTATACTCTGATCGATAACGGTGCCCGCCTGAACATTCATTGTTTCATTACCATCATATAGAAAGAAACGTGTGTTATGACGTTTTTTCACAACAATGAATGCTAATTGCGGTAAGGGTTTGTTACCATAGACAACTAATACGGAGAAAAAATAAATTATTTTCATCATTACTTTTGAACACTTACTGCGACATGCATTTTTAATTTTATTAACTTCATTATCGAGTACTTTCTGGTATTGTCCTTCATCTACACCATCTCGATAGAAAATAATTTTATTTGGAAGACGATCACCACATGAATTAGCAAATACTCGAAGTAAATCAATAACCATCGTATCTAACTCTTTTATAATTTCAAGTGAACAACGACCCTTTTTTGGATATTCTACAATGAAAAATGGATAATGATGATAGATAGAAACTAATAAACAACATACGTTCACAAACTCGAGCAGCATATAGATTGTTTGTCAAATCTCGAGAACCAACAACAGCTGATATTGATGGATAATCACTTGAACAAGTTGAGTGAGTTACCTAAATGAAAAAGATATAAAAAAAATCATTGATTATCTCCGATTCTTTTACTTATCAATTACTTACATCAGCTCCAAAAAACATAAAAAGATCTTCTCTTGAAGAACGACTAAGAGCTGATTTAATATTGATGACACCATTGATATTACCTAATTTTCCATTAATTTTTTGACTTATATTTTCAACGTCTAAAATATTTAATACTCTTTTTCTTAAATACATAAGATATCATGCATAATGATTCTTTTACTATGAAACTCAAATAGAGCCTTTTAACGCCTATTACTATTTTCAAATGTCAATGTTTTTATGTATGCACTTACACATTTCAAGTTTGCTCATGTTTCGTTCCAAAGCTTGAAAATTAACACATTGAGTCATCAAGCCAATCTTTGTATTGGCATATTTTTTAACAAGATTATAGACAATCTCTGAATTACGACTATTAATAATAATAATAGCCAATTGCCAACGTTGTCTACTAGCATCAAGTAATGTATTGTAAATTTCATTGTCCAATGAACTCTTTATTGTCAGTAATAATTCGGTATTAATTACGAAACCACTGCGTCTAAGTAGCTAGATGAAAAAAACTTCAAACTAATATTAAAAATCAGTTGGAAAAAGTTTACATCTGGTAATCGATTTTGAAATTCGCTAAGCGTGTCCTCAATACGACTGTTAGGTGTATCGCCAAAATAAATCATTCCCCATGAATTGATTTTTGATGTTGTATAAAACCAATTTTGAATTCGCCATTTGCCACAATTAACGGATTCAATAACTTCACCTTGACCACGACTGCGATATCTGATTTTTGGAGGCGCGAGTACACGTGCTAAATATACATCAATAAAGTTGTAGGGAAATGAAATGAAGAAGGATAAATTACCTTTGATTTCAAGCATTTCTTTATCGTCAACATGAATATTTAGTTCTTTGAGATAAGGATCTCTATCAAACTGATTGTTACGTACGATTTTCATTATTTCATTGTAACGTTGTTCTGGTTTAATGATCGTATTTCTCGAAACAACACCTCGTTGTTGTTTGTCTAATGGTTTTAATGCACGTTGCCATTCGACTATCTAAAATAAGATTAAAGTCATATCATCATTATTGATTTGATGTTATATACTTACTCTGACAAATTCCATAGGTAACCAATTTGGTTTGTTTTCAGCTCCTTTCATCGCATTAATGCAAGGTAAATAAGGATACATAAGTTTTCTATATTTTTCAGCAAAATAATCTGCAACACTCGTTTCTTTGATATCAACAGCACTTGCCGTTTGACCATCATCTCCACCGCGACGAAACATAAGTCGATTAGCAGGACGACCAAAACCACGTATTCGATAGAAAATTCTCCGACCGGTATGCATTGTTTCAACTAATAAAAACAAAATTGTTAAAGAAACAAGATTAAGTCAACCTACTGGATAAATTGCGAACGATTTTTTCAAATACTTTTAAATCATTTTCATTTAAACCTTTCGTAATATCTTTGCGCAAATATTTGCAAGCAAAATCAACAAAATTTAATGGCATAAAAAAACATGTAAATGTCAAATTGATATTTAGTGTTGGTCCCATTTGCGTGAGAAACAAAGCTTGATAAAAACCTCTTGCCATTCCACGACCATCACCTAAAACGAATTACTAAACATGAAGAAGAATGATTGTACGAAACAAAACTAACCAAGATCATCCAGCTGTCGACGTCGGTCATAGAATTGATTTCGAATAGCGATTAGATCATTTCGAGCACGTTGCTTGAAAAGTATTTCAATGATTCGAACTGCTTCACGTGGTCGCATATTTATTTTCTTTTCAATAAAATCATGAATATTTTGAATTTTATCTTGTCGAACAAGAACTAATTTTTTCAATTGAAAGGTTTTCTTCTCATCATCTTTTCCTATTTCAATCTGAATAGGTAATTTTAAATCAGGTAGTATTTCTCGACTATATAACGTTTTTCCTTCATCATACCTAAAAAAAAGCAGTATTAAACAGGCCAGCTTTTATCAATGGATAAATAAGCTTACCAGATTGTAGGAAAATTGTTTCTTTGTTTAACGAATGTTTGGATCACTTCCCAACGATCATCTTTTCGTGTTAGACGCGCTTTACCATCACGACCAATCATAACAATCTCGATATCATATTGATAAATGATAGCGTCAGGGATTTGTACACGAAAATGATTGGTATATACAGATATTTTTTGACCTTTTGAACCACCTTCATCAGGCCGACGAATTGGTGTCAATTCGGCTGATTCAGGTACTGCTGAGCATAATATTCGACGACGTATCACTGGACGAACACTTTGAGAACGAGAATCTTTTGCCAAGGCCGATGCTGCATCGATAGACAAATTTCGCATTGACTCATTCAATATCGGGAATGCACTGCAAGATCGTTCAGTTCCAGATGGTGAAGCTCGTGTTGGTTTTGGTATCACAGATGGTTCAGTTGTAGATGATACTAGAGCACCACATGCTGATCTTTGTGATGTACCAGCCACTACTACAGTCGTATCCGTACTATCGTTGTTTGTTGCCGGCTTTGAGTCGGCTAGAGCTATAAAAAAAAAGAAAATAATAAAGAAAGAAGTGAGTAATGATTTCATATTGAAAACGAACCCCTTCGATTTTTTCGTTGTGACATTGTATAATTCTTTTGCGGATCAATCCCTGCAAAGAATTTAAGTTGTTCAATACTAATATTGAAAGATTTCAATGGAAAAAAAATTTCACTGACCTTTGTATAGAAAAATAAATGCTTATATTTTGTTTCAAACAATATGCGAATTATTACTAATCTATAATCAAAAAACAATCGTTGACTATAGTATTTAAAGCCATATAATTAACAAATTTCTTTGTTATAAGCAACATTCGATATAGATCAAGAACTCTTACTTTAGTGTTCATACCATATGAATAGAAGAATGTAATTAAAGTATAGATTTATTTTGTTTTATATATAGAACATCTACTGGGTATTGCAGTGGGAAAAAACCCACTGTACTTGTAACAGAATGAAATGACTCATCGTACACCAAATCATAGAGAAAGATCAACATTATTACGGAGACGAAAAAAGGAAAAAAGCAAAAGCAAGAAAATAACAACTAGAAAGAATACTTTTGAAAGTAATCTGGTATTTTATGTTCATTTTTTTCAACTAATATTCTTAGCAAGGATTTTATTACTAAAACAGCTTCATTTAATATCAATTGTTTATTACTATTTCTTTATTTTTCTTACATTTATTTGTCTTAATAATATGAATAGTATTGAAAGGTGTACTTTTTATCAAGATATAATAATTGATCACAATCATCACATTCTAAATATCAAGAAATTTTTTAAGATCTTTATTATAATTTTTAGATGTAGTATTTTATTTGAATATGTTTGATGTTAAATGATCTTTACAACAAAATAAACTCAATAATGAATAATAAATAGAGTTTTAAATCATAGATAATAGTAAAGTGTTTTTTTTATCTTATAAACCAAAACTCTTCTCGTGATGATAAATATATATTCTTTTACAGAAAAATGCTTCTCATTTGGTCATGTTTTTATATTGTGAATGACTCACAACTCTTCTGCTTATTCTGCTGAATAAGAGTGAAGGAAAAAATATATACCATGAAGTATTTTATGTTTTTCTCTTCTTTGTTTCTTACTCTCAGTCAAGCCAGCAGTAAAAACAACAAAAGTTAACCACGCCTTTTTCTTTATCATCATATTGTCACATGTTTTTCTTGCTACAAAATTTTGAATAACACAGCTCAACAATTCACTATAGTAAAACATATTGTTCATTGATTAAACCATGCACCTTTCCTTTATATACTATACAATGCAATATGCTGTGAAAGATGCAAATGATTCGTCGTCTTTCACACGAAGATGATCATGATTAGCTGCAAAAGTTCTCAGACTTAGCTATTTATTTCGTATTATGGTCTTTGCATTGGGTAGGGGTGTAGGTGTAGGTCTTCTGTCCAGTCACACCTTATAAGGCCAAGCACGCAGAAGAATAAAATGGCAAACACAGACCGGAAAAATCCGTAATAAGTCAGCCTGTTTGGATTTGTATACGCAATTTAATAATACTCTATGAGGAGCAAATATCGTAGGTAAACTAGAAATCATCAGACGTGTTTGTTTCTTTTGATGTTGAATTTTTTTCTTTCATCAATTTTCATGAATACACGAGTTTCTGCATCAAACACTGTATTTAGAAGTCAATACTCTTTACAGAGGAGCAGTACAGTTTTCTATATCAAAGTATTTCGACTTTGATTTCTCTTGTGAAAAATTTCATTGCTGAAATTAATTTCACTTTAGTTTTTGTTCGATTGCAATCTATGTATGAATCACTTGAATCAAGATACAAGTGATTGCATAAACCAAATAGCTTCTCATCGAGTCTATGTGCTACTCGTCCAAGTTTGATAGTAGAAATGGGAAAATTCCTTGGATATACAGTTTAAATGAAAGTAAGTAGGAAAAGTCTTCGCAAAAAGAATCTCTATTTGACTCGTTTGTCGAGTCTTTTACTTTTCAATTGACAGTGGCATCAACTGAAGAAATATTCTGCAATCTGTTCTTATATTCTGTGCAAAAACAAGCCGTGTGAAATAAAAACATTCGATTGGTTGTTAAATTAAACTTCTTGAAGTTCAACGCAAAAAATTTGAGCATCCTTATTACTAAACAGCCGAAATTGAAGTCGTCTAAAATCGATACAATTTCATTAATCGTAATTATCTTTATTGGAAACGGTTAAGATCTTTTCGAGCAACATAATGATCAGACTTCTATCTTCTTAAAATCCAATTAATTCATCAACTATACTGTAAAATTATGAATGTAAGTTTTTTTTTCAAGGTACCTCCCCTTCTTTCCACACCGATTGATATGCACTGTTTCTTAAAAATTTTCTTGTTTAATGAAATAACAAATTGAATGTATTCAGAAACGCTCTGTATTACACAGAGCACTGATTATTGTTCTTGATTATGATATAAATATTTCTCTCTCATCTTTTTACATGATCTTCTTCACTACGAAGAACAGAGACAGGATCAGTTCTGTGTGAAGAAAATTAGAAGCAATTCTATATCTACCATCATTGTTATATCACAGGAACAGACAAAACTATTAGAACATCGATAAGGTTAATGATACTATTCATATAAATTTCTTTCTATTATTTGAATTTTTTAGTTTAATATAAATTTTTGAAACATGTTTTCAGTTGACATTTCAAATGATTTCATTAATTTTCACGTGATTGACAATATTATAATAATTCGTTGCTTTAAAAATGTCTCTAGAAAATAGTTCTGAAACCTGAACTCGTATTGATATGATACGGAACGCTTTACATTACAAAAATGTTAAACTATATTCCTTAAACAAAACTTTCTCGTTTTGCATAAAACTTACACAGTTGAGATCTTCTTAACTATGACGAGAGAAAATGACATAGAGAGTGATGAATCATTATGCGAACGTCTTTTAACTTTGAATTATATAACAACATATCCTTACATATGTGTATTTCTTGAGACATTTGTCAGAATGGAAGAACATGTATATATATATGGAAAATGGATGTTACTAATAGCTATGAAAACATAGAGAATTCAATTTCTTCTCAAACTTGTTTACCGACTGTTTTTCTTTTATATGGATAATCAAGCAATTACCTTGTGAAAAGTACATGTTACGCTAATTCGTTCCGAAACAATTTCCACTTGAGATACTATGCAATTATATTCTCAAGAGATATTATATAACTGGATAGAATGATCTTCTCTAATGTATGCAATAGGATTCAGAGTTGTTAAAATATTATACCTATTTCTATAAGACCATAGAAGGAAAAATCTTGGAATTTCATAATAGAAATTCGAGTAGAGAAAGAATTCTCTTTGTTGACCTAAAATAGTATATGTATAGTAGCAAACTTCAGGAGCGCCAGTTTATATAAATCAATAAACGTCCGCAAAAATATACGGTAACTCAAACATGTGTAAGTCAGAAAATTTGGTTTTAAAAAAATAATGATTTCTAAAGCAATATGTTCTGTAAAAAGTCAGTTCGCAGTTAAGTTTTGAAATCATTTTTAAATATTTCAAAAGCAGAGTACATACAACTGTTGCTATCTGATTCATTCGTAAAGGCATTTTAAGGCTCATATTTAAAAAAAAGAAACAGTAAATCTTGACAGTTTTTTATTAGAGTTAGTTTTGTTTGAGAAGTTTTTGTTTTGATTCTGTTTCAAAAAACAGGAACCAATCTCATCTCTGATTGAGACAACATTATTCTCATTGGAATTTCACATTTTCACACTATCACGATCTGAGCTATCACAGTTTTTGTTGAGCAGAATGTCTAATTAGTGTTGAAATATACAATGAGAAGTATGAGTTGCCTCTCAAGGCTTCATAGAATGTGGCTGGAATGTCAACAAAACTGCGATACATAATGTTCAGCATTGTGAATGATTTCGTTACATCAATTTGCTCTCTATTGTAGTGGCCCCATCATGCGATAGATAGTAGTCACGCAGAATTTACATTCAAAGCTGTCTATGAAGAGTTGTAGAAAAGCGTAAGTTGATGAGAAAAGAAAGCTTCATTATGGTCGATTATTTAAGAAAAATATGAAAACTATATGGTTTTTTAGCTAAGGTAAGGTGAAGATCAAATAAAAAAGAAATTATAAGGACATTGTAAAGTGAAAGCAGAGTTTTCTTCCGGGTCAGACATAACAGCAGATTAGATTTGCTATGGAAGAGGAAAAAAGAAACTACACAATGAGGCCTAATAATAATGGAGAAGCTAATGTGTGATGTTAGTTATTATTTTTATACGAAACATTTCTTCATAGGGTCGGCATCAGCTTAGAGTTGAGATTGGTCAAGAATTTTCGAATTATCCCAGTCCAACCAGTAAGAAATGACTAATTGCTTGGGCTATTATTAATCGACTAATAGAAATGACTTCACCAAAACGTTCATTTTCCTTCTTGTACTCAGACTTTTACAAATCTTCAGGAAGAAATATCTTGTCATTGTCATATATATCTGCTGGGCTTCTCACAGATGAATTTGTCATATATATTTGTATAGTGCAAACAGCAAAAATCATATACCCATCAACTAATTGCTAAACTTCCAGTCTTGAACTTTCACACCAAGCTTTTTCAAACAAACCTAACGTTTCTAATCGAACGAAGATTCAAAGTTAAACTTTATTTTGAACAAAACATATATGATTTGAATCTAGATCAAGAAATACACGTTTGATTGTGTTTTTCAAAAAATGAAATATACGTCGATTAACGAAATAAAACAGGGTGAATGAATAGAAAACAATAAAAGTGATAGTTTTTGAAACAATACTATTTTGATGAAAGCAAGCAAACTTGTTCTCAACAAAATTTCTTAGAAAAAAAAGCATCTCTATAAAATATTTTCCAATCAATGAAAATCGACCGGTCCAGATCGATTATAATTCTGAACCAACATTTCTTGACTCCGAACGATTTCAACGTAACAGTGGGTCATAGATAACGAAAAAGATGTATTCGCTCATTGCAAAAAAATTTAAGATGGTTTTCTGATTGTTTTAGCCTTGGCGCAAAAAATTTGATAGAAATCTGTCTCGGTTCTATTCAAAACGTTTCCCTTTTATTATAGATTTCGCTCATTTCTAAGCAAGCTTTACCATCTATTCATGTTCATCATGTTTAATAGACCGTTGATGTCAACAAAATTTCTTTTTGATGCATGATAGCAAGGAAAAATAGTACGAATAGTATTTATTGTATTCAAGTTTTATGTGCACATAAAATTGTCTTTCAATGAAAGCAGTTCAAATAGCGTATTCCGTCTTTTAATAATTTGAAAAGTGTATTTCGAAATATCGTACCAGTTATTGTGTACAAATAAAATGATATGCAGTTAGGTCCATATGTAAGCAGCAGAACAAAGCTAAAAATAAGACTTTCGAGGGCTCTTTGAATTGATGATTTCGTTTGATAAAATGTATAGGTCAGATAAAATTTTTGTCCTGCTTGTGGTAAAGTAAATATAGTTAAAAGAATAACTTGTGCAAATAACATTATAGTTAAACTTCTTTCGTCTTTTCTATTTCGTTGAGTATTCTTATTATTAGTCATACTAATTGAAGAAGGTCCTATTCTTTGGACTTGTCGAACATTGTTTATAGTTAATAAGCCAATAATAAGAATGATTGCCGATGGAATGATGGTTGTAATAAGTGATTGTGCAAGGTCATTATAAACACGACATGCATTAGATTTAGCATAACATTTTTGAGGTGTGCCAACCAAATTAGCATCAAAACAGTAGCCGGCTTCAGCCCATACCAGAGCTGAAATGATACTAACAATTAAAATCGAAATATAAGCATTCTTCAAATTGCTCATTCGACGTCGATTGACATTAGAACTTGATATTAAATAACGATCCACACTAGCGAGAGTTAAAAGCCATGATGAAATAGTACGCATTGTGAAAAGAACGACTAGACGCAGCTTACATAATGTAGACACTGTTTCTGTTTGATCTGGGATCATAAAAAAAATTTGAAATGCACGTGGTGCAATACCCGAGAAAATGATAATTAAATTTAATATGCTAGCCACAAGAAAATAAACGACACATGGTTTTGATCGAAGTGATCGTTGTGCAAATACTAAACAATTGAGTAGATTACCAATCAAGCCAAAAACAAGGATAATAATGGACATATATAGAGATAATTGTCCCGAAATATATTGAAGCTTAGCGATGTACGATAGTGTTGGATTTGTACTTGACATTTTCAATATTGAATTCTGTTCAAATAGATAGAATCGCTGTTCTAGTGAATGTAATATTGTAGATAGACTTTAAGGAAATGAAAATAATCTGTATGTAAGTTATTGGTATGAGAAGAGTATGCTAATTACAATCTCTTATTACTTTCTTGGTTTCTAGATTTGTCTTCTTAGACATTATTGTTTGAATAGAATAATCAGTAGAGTGACAAGGTTTTGATAAACTTAAAAATTCACTATGGACATTTTTTTTGTAGCTGCTGTGACATTTCTAATAATTCAGAAGAACTGATTAACAATTTTTAGACCATAATTACTAAAGGCAGCAACTTATAATTACTAATATTGTTTCAAACTGACAAGAAATCATAATTAATAATTTCAGTTCATAATTAATCAGCAATTCATGAGAATGATACCATTGTAAAGAAAAAAAGATGACTAACTAGTTTCAAAATGCAAGTAATAATGGAGATGTACTTTTGTGGAAAACTACCTTTGAAAGATATACATAATCTCTTCATCTACATCGGCACATTTAATTATTTTTCGTTATTAATAATTAGTTTTCTTCAACATTGTCTTTCTTAAAAATTCTTTTTAAGGATGGGTCGAAATATCTATGTTTGTTATTAATATCTGATGAGTACTCTGTCCGATATCCGTCATATTTTGCTATCAAATATGTCACTCACTGTATATTCTCGAATTTCCGAATTTGATCAAGCGTATGCGTCGAAGTGGTTTCTAATTTTCTTGATTTTCTAAAAATTGTTGTAATTTATTTTCGTTATAGCAAATAATTCTGACTTTTCTAATTTGCGGTATTCTTATGAAAGGACACTCAAAATGCAAAAAATCAGAATAATTTTCGTCATTAATTAGTCACAGCGTTTGCTGTCTCTGAACTAAAGAACTATTGTATACGCTCAGTACCAGCAGTACTAACGACCCGAAAATTACCAATTCAATGAGAATGAAGGAATTGAGAGTATTGAATAGAGATCGATAACTTACATATCTACATCTTTTAATTGCTATGAAATTTGTAGATGTGGGTAATAGGAGCAGCATGAGACGAAAATCACCAATTCCTAAACCTACGCCCTAATTACCACTATTCAATTAATTAAAATCTTTGATGTTTCTTAAATCGCTCGAATTCTATAGTACTTACACGCTCTAGATCTGAAAATAATTCATTGCCGTTTTGTAGTTCTATCCTGTCACTAGATAATAGCGAAATTATGAAAAATATTATATAAGAAGAATGTGAAAGCTTTCTGAAGGACTGTACTCCTCTTGTACTAGTCACCATTTGATTTAGTTGATAATGATAAATCATTAAAATAGTATGAGAAGAATTTCATCCTTTACGTATAGGGTATCATGAATTGTACAATCAAAAAGATAGATTTGTTTAACTATGAAGTAAGATATAACTATTATGTCTATTTTCAGCGCATATTACTATCGGGGCCAAGTGAATTTCCTCCTTTGTTCTTTTTTGTTTTTATTATTATACTTCTTTTATTTATTGATCTACTATATATAGCGAAAAAGCCCAGAGCGCGCTGCTTCTTTTGATATATTTACCTTGAGCATCAAACGTAATCTAAAGTATAAAAAATGTGTTAGAGAAAAAAGTAACATTTTTTTAACTACATAGTGTCCATAATATTGTAATATTTTTTATTTCACATATATCTTGGCTTAGATAGAAGATAAAATCTTGAATTTTTTTTCAAAAGATGCGCTGTAAAAAGCTCTATAAAATCTGAATGATTGAATTCCAGTTACCCTGTTCTAATGGGTTTTCTTTTACTCAAAATGAACAACTTACATGGCAGTGTCACTTCCCATAATACTGAAAATGTTTGAAACACTTTTTTGTCTCTCTATATGAGTTGGTTCATACAGCTTTTGTAGAGCTATCTTTTAAAAAAAATTCAATATTGTATCATTTTCTCAAGTCGAAATATATGCAAACCAAAAAGTGTTCCAAACATTTTCAATATTATGGGAAGTGATACTGTCATGTAAGTTGTTCATTTTGAGTAAAAGAAAAACCATTAGAACAGGGTAACTGGAAGTCAATCTTTCAGGTTTTATAGAGCTTTTCACAGCGCATCTTTTGAAAAAAATAATTCAAGATTTTATCTTCTATCTAAGCCAAGATATATGTGAAATAAAAAATGTTATAATATTATGGACACTATGTAGTAAAAAAAAATGTTACTTTTTTTTTCTAACACATTTTTTATACTTTAAATTATGTTTGATGCTCAAGGTAAATATATCAAAAGAAGCAGCGCGCTCTGGGCTTTCTCGCTATATATAGTGGATTAATAAATAAAAGAAGTATAGTAATAAAAACAAAAAAAACAAAGGGGGAAATTCATTTGGCCCCGATAGTAATCTTTTTTTTAGATCACACTGATATCTTTGACAACGCAATCTTTCTTTCACACGTATTTTCATAGAGTATTACTGCTACTGATTGATATGCATGCTATTATATATATTAAACAAAAATTCGATTACTAATTATTCAATTATTAAAGAGCTCTCATTTTCAATTGATAACTAATATAGTAAACGTTGTAGTAAAAAGTTTTATTATTATAGTATAAAAATATGCGTTTTCTTCGTCACATCATTGATCTACTGGTTCGAATAATTCAAGTGAAACCAAGAAACTCCCATCAACCATTATTTCAATCATATAATGTATTCATCATGTTTATTTGTCATGAGAAACAATGATCTCATATTTCATTCTTTCAGATTAATGTTTAATAAAACAATGAATATGGAGAAAAAACTCGAGTGATATTTCATTGCAAGATGTTCCTTTTTTTCCAACAATTTCGATTCTCTGTTAACAAATATATCAAGGAAGTTTTTACACCACCGCATCTCATCATTTTATAGATAATTGTATTGAAGTGATTGTTTATATGCAGTCAAGAATGGAATAGATTTCAAATGCTAGCGAAAAAACTGAAATCAATAAAATTTCATTCAAACAATTAGAATGATGAGAGACATTTCTTCTCTTCATAATATTGATGCTTAAAAGAGAGTCTGCCAAAACACCGACTGACTTTGTGTAGAGCTGACCGCTGCTAAAATTTTAATTTTCGACTTTATTACCTTCAGTGATTGATCATCATGAGAAACCTCTAAATAGAAAATATTAGCGCTTTCTGATTCTGACTAGTTTTTGAAAAATGCTAAAGTCTACAAGTAACATTACTCTTGAGATTTGCTCAAAAAAATACGCCAGCTTAGAGTGTTACTGGTATTTTGTTTTTTTTCTTTGCATTCACTGATTGGTTTGACTGTAGGTGTGTTTCAAAAGATGCAAAAATATGTCCTTTACAAATCTGACTAGCTCAGTAACTTCTAAAATACAGTCACTAAATGACGATGCTAATATACGATCGGAAAAAGATAGTCGGATGTTAGCTCAATTTTCTGATATTTTGCCTCTAACCACACTGAATTATTTTGCCCCAAAATAATTGTTATATTTTCTAAATATCTTTGAAGTTCTATGTCGTTCAATGTATTACTGCAAAAGGCTGAAAGTCTGATAGGAAAGGTTTGTTCATACCACAAATATTAATAGATGGTGTTCATTAGAGCTTTTGCTCTGACCTAATTAATGTCTTGTAGTCACCTATCAAGCCATAAAACCAGGCCAAGTTTTGAAATTTTAGACTGGTCCTATAGATTCATTCAGTATTCGACCGAATTAACAGATCAGGTCAGACTGATGTTGTTGGCCTGGCTCTAACGTTTTGGAAAACTAATATTGATGCATTGCGTTATTCTTCGAGAGTACTTTGACAGGTTCATTTGATTTCAGCAACAAATGCTTGAACTAAACATCAGTTTAGTGTTGTAGAACTTATATTAATTAACAAAAAACATGTTAAGATTTGAAACCATTGAATAGTAAATTCTACGTTTGTACTGTGGCGAAAATCGATTGTCGTATGTAAATATCCTTGCTGTTATGATAAGTCTTAGTTATTCTCTGCATGTTCATTATCCACTTTTCTTTAGGTCTTCGTTGTATGTCTGATCAAATGTTGCCCTTCTTGTATGAAAACTATTTATGATGATTATCTCTTTGTATTAATTTGCCATGTCATACAAGAATTTGTTATTCTCTCATCTTTATGGAAATAAATTAACTGAGTGACTAAAACTAGAAGGATAGATTGATGCACAGTTATGGAATGCAATGATTTCGAAAAATCAAAAACGTCGATTGGTATAATTTGACCTGCGCGCCAGATCAGGTCAGGTCTAAAAAAAGTTGCATGCTGGCAGCTCTGATGCTTATCTCTATCCATTCTGATTTACAATCAACATAATACATATAATATGCTAACCGAATCAAAAATATGATATCAGATTCACACAGAATGAAAAAAAAAATATAAATATGCTGCTTGATTCAATGCAAGCTTGAATGTGCGTATGGGTTTGCCAGACTGACTCTGGATGTATGGATGCGTGGACATAAGTACCGGCGGGTGTGAGTGTGACGATTGTTTCTTCACCAAGACCCAGATCTACTCCCACATCTACACCAGTACCGCGGTAAACGAATGCATTGAGACTGAGAGGAATGTGGGATTTTGAATAGCAGTTCTCTAAGGAATATAGCCAGTATTTTCCGTTTCTGACCGATCAGTATGATTTGCCAGGAGAGAATGGCCTCATCGAGCTATAGCTGAAGAAATTTTGCATCGATTGATGAAAGTTCGTGACGCGATAAATGAATGAAGAGGAGCTTGAATAGGTTTTCAATGCTGCGCATTAGAATTTTGAGAGCTTTGCCCATTTTTCTGGTTTAATTTGAGTCCTCGAATCGTTAGTAGAACGACAAAGACCTGTTCAGTCGATAGCTTACAAGTTTTGGCATTGATTGATACATATTTTATGTTGTGAAAAATAGTATTCTGCAACCGGGCTGCGTAACTAGCAATCGGTTCTGAACAGGAGCCCAGATGTAAAATTGACAGTTCGGATGGAGTAACGAGTATGAAAAAACCTGCCGAATCGGGTGCATATTTGAGATCGTTACTCGGCACTCGATCTGGGAATATATGAGAGCTCGATGTTTTAAAGTATTTTTTTGCAAACTGCTGTATATATAAAAGAGTAGAAATGAAAACTGATTTGATAATGATGGAGTAATTTATTGTACTTGAGAACAGAACACAGGAGTAGACAGCGATATTGTTTTACTAAGAGAATTCGTTTTTAATGCAAATTCATGTACAAATGATGAAAAATCATATGACGAAGTGATTGAATACATTGAGAGGAAAATGAAATATTAAAAAGATGAACATGTCTTATCGTGATGGTAAAAGCATCCATGTATGTATCCACAATTATGATGTTTAATATCAACACTGCATTCCATTCCGGCGTCATCAACAACAAGTAAACGTAAAGATAGCGAAATTGATCTGGTTTTAGAAAAATCAGAAAAACACCAAGTGAATCCTGATTTTCTTGACTTATTTGTCCTTTTGCAGATTTTGAGATGGCCTGTTTTTTTTTGTCGCTGTTTTCATATAAAGTAAACATTTGAAAACTGTAGTATAACTATGAAAGTATCTGCTGGATGCCGATCAGCTTCGATCCGAGTCGAGCCTGGGTATTAAAAAAAAGTGCTGACCAGGATCCGGGTGCCGAACGAATGTTTGAGAGCTGTAATAGATTTACAATAGTCGATCATCTATTTTCGAACGTTTTGGGTAGCTATTACGAGTTTTGAGCATCGCAGGTCGTTTATCCGGGAAGACCAATTTGATTGATTGATAGTCTACGAAATTGTTCATAGATTGATGTCTCGATCAACGACAAGAGAAGTTGTAGAAATGATGTATCGTACATTCTTTTGAGATTATTGAAGATTTTTCGCAGATTTTTGAGCTTTGAACACTGAGTGATCCATTTCATGGGAATGAAGGAGATTTTTCATGGATAGAGAATACAATTTCGCATCGATTGACGCATGATTCGTGCTTCGACGAACGATTAGGGGACATGAAAATGCCAATGGTATGAGTATAATCATGGTACAAATAAAATTATTAATATTTTTTGTTGGTACTTTCTCTTTGAGTGGAGTTTGTACAGGGATGAGTCATTGCACTGACTATGTCTGTAGATTCTGTATCTACCAGCATCGGTTATAACCGCTGACAACGAGTGAAATGTAGCAAACTGAGAATCTCTAGCGTTGTTGTTCCCGCCTATGTGCACCCTCTATAGACGCTTATCGTTGTTGTGTACAAGTCTAGCAACACAATTATGAGTATGATCGTAATGGTGGATTGTGTTGTGATAGCTTCACATCGGGAAACAGTATTAATCAATCGAGGCTTCGTTTTGATATTCAGAAGATCTACTAGCTATACTGTTTTATTGATTGAATCATAGTGGTTTTTCAATGGCTAAAAGATATGATTTTAATTCGTCCAGAAGATCTGATAGTTCAAGCTCAAATGAACATGAGGCAAAGAATATGATAGATGAAGATGAGGTAGAACGACTAGGTGGTCGTATGTCACATATGGAAATTTTTTAACATATACAGAATGCAAGCACTAATGTCAGTAATCCAGAAATGCGGCTTCAACACTGCTGTTATGTGCAATCAGTTGGTAAAATTCCAAATTATAAAAATAAACCATCATCAACAAATTTTCAATCAGAAGATGTTGAAAAGTATCTTGAAGCAGCGATTCTTTATCAAAATGCCACTGAGCTTCTTCAAAAACGTGAAGAATATGCTGTTGTTGAAGATGACTTTGGACCAACACTTACTAAAATGTTGATTCGTGGAAAAAAAACCATCATTTTCAAATCTAGTAGACGCATGTAGAAAGTTCGATCAAGAAGATTATATTAATATACATCTTATGACAATTGAAACATCTTATCGACATTTTCTGTAGAAAAGTATTAACGAAGATGATGCTAAAGCATATGCATTTGCTATTGCATTTTATACAGGTGCATAAAGTGAAATGCTCAGTCTCAACGCAAATATTTTTGCTCGAAGATGGCAACGAAACAAAGCAACAAATGCAGAAAATGTAGAAGTTGATGATAATGCGGCTATGATTATGTATTATCTTATAAAAGATCTTTCACATATTAATTTTCACTGGGGTCGAGTTGTGCGATATATTAAGTTGAGTGAGAAAGATCTTAAGGATTATCAACCCGGTGAAATTCTTACATGGCTTCAATTTAGTAGTTCTGATAAAGGTGATCATAACAATGCTAAACATCTTACATATTTTAAAGAACGTAATACCAAATTCATCATTCATTCACTGACTGGTCGAAGTATACGAGATTTTTCTAATTGTGCTAAAGATGAAGATGAAGTTCTTTTTTTACCTCATTCCACATTTCTTGTATGCCATACTGAAGTTAAAGATAGAAAAAACATTATTTATATGAGACAGGTAAAATGGTCTGTTTAATTCTAATATCTGCAAAGAAATATTTATAGATTGAACTTGGCCTTTGCAAATATGTTGTATTATGAGTTGATGATCATATATTTCATGAATGGTGGGAAAATAAAGAACATATGGAAAAAGCAAGTACCCTTGGTACTCAAGTCAATGTTCATTTTATTCCAAAATCTACAACAGAAAGTGCATTGACCTTTCTTCGATCCGAATTTGGAAAACGATTAAAAAGTAGTGATACATTTCGCATTGTCACTGATATGAATCGAGATAATGAAAGTTCTCCAAATGATGCTGGTGTTCGTCTACTTTTTCAAGTGCGAAAACTTGGATTCTATCAGAAATATCTTATATTCACTGGGAACGCATCGGAAGGTCGAAGAAAATTAAATAAAGTTTTTCAGGGAAATCAATTGGATGACGTCAAAATTACAGAAGATCCGACAGATCTCGAACGATTCGTGCTTTTCAAATGAATATAACATATGAGCGTTATTCTATTATTCTTGAAACAGTTGTGTCTTGACAGTTTTATATCGTTAGTTTTTGCCATAAGCTGACGTTTTCCTCGACACTTGTTGCCCATTTTAGATTTTGTATGCTTCATGTAATTAAGTGAAATAATATCTATTCACTTTGCTTTTTTACTCAGAGAAATAAAACTATATACTAAGTTGTAATGCTACATCAGGGAAATTGCTGGCCTGTTACTTAAGTCATTGAGACTTCTATGCTAAACTAATTATTAAGAGATACCGCAAGGACACAGTCTTGAATGTAGAGCATCTGTACAATCATTCGAGCTCATGGCATGTTACAATTCAACCCGTGCTGTCTGCTCTTTTCCATTAAAGATGTGACATAAGCAGTCGAAAGCTGATGATAGCTAGCATGAACGACGTTGAGTTTCTATGAGTTTAACATGTATTCGAAAAACAGTTCAAGTTCTACGTATGTTATTTTTATGTATCCATTATGCGAACCGTTCGTAAAGATAAATCTTCCATACCGATTATAGTACTTCCTCTATCAATCAAATGACGCATATAATCTAGATGACGTTGTTCCATTATTTCACCTGGAACCAGCAATGGAATACCCGGCGGATATGGTATTACATTTTCGACTAGTATATGTCCTACTGCTTCATTCAGAGGAATGCTGCGTGTTTTGGTCGAAAAATAGGCATCACGTAAGCTGATCGCTGGAAGTGGAAGACCATCTGGCGGCTTGATTGAAAAATTATTGTCATCAATAACCTGATAGTTTTGTTTAGTCAGACTATGTAATGCATTAAGTAATTTATCAACAGTTGATTCTGTATCAGCTATCGTAATAGAACATATTACATGTTTGACATCAGCAAATTCCACTTCAATTTCATATTGATGTCTAAGAAGGGAACTGGTCTCAAAGCCGCTGAAACCTGTAGCGCTAACACGAATAATAAGCTTACTTGGATCATAGGCAAAAATGCTGTTCACGCCAATCAATTCATCGCCATAGCACCACAAACCATCCATCTGTCGAATAGCATTGCGTGCTTTTTGTGCCAGAGCAATAACAGTTGACAAACGCTCGCGACCTTCTGTAGCCATTTGCATGCGAGTCGCATCTAATGAAGCGAGTAAAATCGAACTTGGTGAAGAACTTTGCAGAAGCGATAGTACTTGTGCTATACGTGCTCGATTAACAAAACCGTTGTCATTAACATGTAGCATCGCTGACTGTGTAAGAGAACCTTGTGTTTTATGTGTACTCTGTACGATGATGTCTGCTCGTAAAGACACGGCTGAGGGGGGAAAATCGGAATGAAAACCAAGATGCGACCCATGAGCCTCATCAACAAGAAGAGCTACACCATAAGAATGAGCGAGTTGACAAATGGCCGCTACATCAGGCATAACACCGTAGTAATTAGGAGAAGTCAAATGAATAGCAACGACATCATGATGCTGTTTAAGTAGAGCTTCAATCGCTTCGACACTCACTGATAGTGGAAATCCAATATCAGGATGATAATCAGGTTCGATATAGATGGGTGTAGCGCCGGAAAGTACGATTCCACCATAGACAGATCGATGCGAGGCGCGTGACATTATGATCTTTTGATGGGAAGCGGTCACACTCATAATAGCAGCCATATTACCCACTGTTGAACCATTAATGAGAAAGAATGTATGATCGGCACCATATGCAGCAGCCGCTAGCTTCTGAGCTTCGAGTAATGCTCCTTTTGGTGAATGCAAATAATCGACGTTTTTGTTAATTTCAACCAAATCAGCCGGATGCAGATCGCCACCAAAATACTCTAGTAGCAATGAATGAGGTGTCTTAGTTCCTTTGTGACCTGGCATGTGAAATGAAATTGGTTTCTGAACTTTCTCGACCATCAGAGTTTCCAAAAATGGCATTTTCGTTTGATCAAGTGTGGACGTAGAGTTTTCGACCATCGACGAAACGATAGCTGGTTCAAGTGCCATTCAAATGCTTTTTATGAGTCACGTGTTTGCATATACGATGTGAAGTACGACGTATGTCAGGTTTCTATCTGTGTATAGGTTTATTTGGAGTTTTTTTGTTCTATCTCATTATTTTTTCTCCTTTATTTTTCTTTCTTTTATCGTCGTTCTTTTTACTATCTAGTAGGCTCTCCTCTCTTACTCGCTTCTTAACTTCATTACAAGCAACTTTTACTTTTAGATTCTTATGCAGCGTATGACATTTTTATTTTGTTCTTGTAGCTGATAACAAACTTAATTATAACAACAAAAAGTGCTATTAATGTTATCTAAAACGACAACCAGTATTTTGACTATTCTCACTGTTCTCACCGCTAGCTTTCTCACGTCACAACAATTGAGAAAACTCTCATTCAATAACAAGTTGACGTCCACAAGGTTGCTTCGGCAGTAGATTCTAATGGCTTGATTTGACGATTGAAGAAAGAAAACTACTGAAAAAAAGTAATTATTCAGATCTGATAAATATTGCATTTTTTTTAAATATCAGACAACTAAGACAAAACGGATGATAAATTTTTCGAGCGTTCAAAATATAGAAAATTTTCAAGAAATCTTTTAAGTATATCTGAGATAATGCGAAGCATCCTGTTGGTTCTAAACGTGTGCAACTGTTTTGTGTCAACACTTTGATTTATTCTAAGAATTCAATGAAACAAGTTTTGTTGTACGACACTAATACTTAGGGCATACCAAAAGTACGGGCAGTGACATTTTAATACCGTGTAATTGGTTTAAATAACTTTCTTTCTGTATAGTCTGATAGAGAAAAAAAAACTCTATCTTTCTATGCTATTTGATCATACTTCAACTAATATCATAATATTAAATTATCTATAAAACCTATTTCGGCTGGTTATGTACTCGTAGTAAGTTTTACTTTGCAGTTTTCAATTCCTTATTAGTTGTATTAACAACCAAAATATATCATAAGATGCAGCGTGAAAAGCTCTACAATCTACACAGTAATGCTTATTGTAATTGTTTTTCGAAAAAGGGAAATTCTATGCAAACAATTTTTGCAATGCTCAAAATTTGTTTCCTCAAAACTTTGTCCATTTTGAAACAAAAAGTGCAGCTATAAAAGAAGTGGTCTTATATAAATTGTAGGACTTTTCACGCTGCATCTTATGATATATTTTGGTTATTCATACAATGTATTAAGCGATTGATAACTAATCTGTTTCACACGTTGTTATCTAGTACAACCAGCGCATAAACAGCCGAAATCGGTTTTATAGATAATTTAATATTATAATATTAGTTGAAGTATGATCAAATAGCATAGAAAGATAGAGCTTTTTTTTCTCTATCAGACTATACAGAAAGAAAGTTATTTAAACCTATTATACGATATTAAAGGGTCACTGCCCGTACTTTTGGTATGCCCTAAGTAATTATGAAGTTTAGAATTCTTGATTAGTTTCTGTATGTTCTTCCAGGTTGAACAACTCGTTTCAAAATCTAGAATATTCCTGACCATCAATCCCCCTATTATTCTGATTAGAAGCCTTGTAGAATCTCTACTTCTCTTATTTTCTTGATTGATCTCCTTTTGAAAATATCATTCTTTTATTATCGTAGGGATACAGCTTACTTCAAGATAATCTTCTTTTTTCCTCTAATGAAGGATCTTATCAGTTAATGAGATCAAGTTTAATCATATCTAAATAAGATTCTTTTATTGATCATCATTCAATATGGTGATGCGTATTTAAGCGACCCATCTGATGGCCACTGTTATTGTTAGGAAGAGCTGTCTAAATTGAGCGATGCTCCTTAATGTCATTGTCTAATGATATTTTTGAGTGAAAATGAATCTGTTTTAATGATTTTCATATAAAAGATATAAGTTCGAATGTATAGTATTTATTCAGCAGATATCCATCAGTAATTATCTCAAATTACAAGCTTAATATCCGTTGTCTAAAATCATAATTTTCTCTATTTTTAAATAAGCAATACCACTGTACATTATTCATGGTTTATTGTAGAAGAAGACAATCATAAAAAATAGATTTTGATCGAAACAGTCGGTTATTATTGGCCAATATTTCTTTTGTTATAATTATCTGTGATTGAATTTATATCTCTTCCACATAGCAATTTGATCTTTTTGGTTTATTCTTCATCGCGTATAATATCGTATAGGTTCATAGAGAAAAAAAAATGTCATATCTCACTTTGTGCTCGTTATATGTTCACGGTCCATTTACCCTAGGAATCTATTCCCTGCCGTTCAGTTCCAAAAAGTAAGTTCTTTTAGAGAAAGCAATAAATTATTCTTATTGATTTTTTTATCTCTTTATTCTCTTCAGATTTGGGTTACCGTTCGAAAAAAACCAAAACTATCGTAAAACCATGAGAAATTTATAGAGACCGACAATGGTCAGAATCAGAATGTCCTAGGAGATAGAGAACTTGTATGAAGATCACAAGTACACAACAGAAGACATCGATCGTGGAAGTCATCATTCATTGAAGTCTCAAGGAGAGATCAGTTATTTGTTAAATCACAACTGAAACACATACATCTGCTTGTCAACCACGACGAATTATTTCTGAAGGTCGAGATGTGCTACGAAATCGTGACTTATAAACTCAACAAGAGAAAATAACTATTCGTTGAATATGGAAAAAATAACCTAAAACAGGTGCTCTTGCCATCAGTTTATGTTACAACTTGTACTCTATTGATTTTCTCGTGTGAGCTTGCTAAATCGATTTTGTTTATTGTTTTTGTAGGAGTTTACATTCTATCAATTGATCAAATCATGTATAAAAGGTAAAAAAATTTCTCAAAAATGATTAAACAATTATAAAATCTGTCAAGAATATTATTTATCTAATACCATAAAGAATTTTTCAGCACGTAGTTTGATAGTGAAATAACATTTCTGAATATGCAAATTCATATTGACATGTATGTCTTATACTAATCATATCGATGCATTATATTCTATCAAATATATACTTCATCATACTATGTTAGATTCAAAAACAAACGAAAGAAAACATGAGAAGCAACAATCCTTTATTTCTGCTCGTCATTGAAGGATTTTTTGAGAGAGCAATCGCTATTCCTCCTGCTTCGCTGGTGCGTGGCATATGCATTTTTGAAGAATCTAGTTGTTTTAAAACCCATAAAAACTGTTTATGAAAAAAAAATGGCATTAATCATATTGTTTATAAACGTATATACCAAAAATATAAAGACCAAATACAACAAGGAACATAAATAAAAATATTTTAAGCCATACACCATTTATTGTCTTTGCTGTATGATGACAAATTAATTGATCCATTTTTAGTAGAACATCTATTGGTAATGGACATGGATCAATACTTGATTGAATTACTTTAATGGCAAAATTTTCAAACTACAAAATCAAAAAATAAATATAAAACATGAAATTTTTATTATATATGTTCGTACATCATTGTATATTTCTTTGGTAAAATTTGGTAGTAATAGTGGATTAGATGTAAGAATTTGGTTAAATATTTGGCGAATTTGCTGGAAATCATTTTTAATATATTTAAGATGATTTACAATATTGGTTAGACTGTTTAAGTTAGCTATATTAATTAATAAATCAAGATCTGCTGTTATATTAATCTTATTATTAACACTTGAAAATTGTTGAAAAACTTTTTTATTAATATCTTTTATTGAAGAACTTAATTGATTATTTAAGTGAATATAAGAATTTTTAAAGAAAATTTCACTAAAATGAATATTTTGATTACAATCATTAATTATATTTAAAATTGTTGCATTTATATCAAAATTATTCATCTGATTTAGAAAATTATCTAATAATAGAGAAAACTCTACATTGTTAATTCTATTTAATTTTGTTTAGTTACTTGTTGAAATTGAAAAAAGAAATGGTTGATTATAATGTACTAATCGACAAGAACCATGTACTATACTATCAAGACCATACAAAAATCCAGTAACAAGAGACAAGTTTACTACTAATATTGTTATAAAAGCAAAAACAATACGTAGTGAAAAAAGAAATAAACGAGTAGTATGATGATCTTGAGATTTATTATTTTGGATTTGATCAATATCAGACGATGAATTAGAATTCCTATTATTTGTACTTCTCCAGTAGTTTTCTACTTCATCCGATTGCTTTCGATTAGATACTGTGTCGTTACTATAAAAAAAAGAGAAATAATGATCAAATGAAATTTTGTTCAGTACACAATGATGTTGAATTTCAAGTTATTTATTTAACAAACAATATAAAAAAAAAATGGTGACATTCGTTTCGTAGACATTTAGTTAAGAAATATAAATTACATAGGCTATAAGTTCGAAATATTGTTTCGAGTATATCAAAGTGCAAACTCATGTATGAATTGCTTATAAAATACGCTATAGTTGTTTTATTTCAAAGTTAAAATTCAACTGAAATAATATTTCCTTTGATTTGAAATGCGACTTATGTCATATCAGAAATGTCATAAAATCAATAGAGTGCTAAATGAACTATTGTCCAGTTATAGGAATCAAAATATACGACGATTCCTATTAGAACGAGCTTGGCGTGTATTAATAAATATAATCATGCTCATTAAACTTTTTATCAAGAGACATAACAATTACAAATCATTATATTCTACCTTTACTGGAATGATTAAAGGTAATCATATTTGATCGTTTTGTCGATAAAGCTACATGTGAATAGATAGAATCAATAATCTATTATCTGTTTAATCTTCCATTATTTATTACAATGTAGAACTCATTTGAAAACTAGTTTTTTTTTAAATGAAACTCACATATATTTTTTCAAAAAAATATGAAATAAAAATTTTAA